TAATTACCAGGCGTCTAACAATGGTGGTTATGTAAATTCTACTTATATTATAAACGCTACGTTTCTAATTATTTTACGTAAAAACTACCAAATCGATATTTATAAAAACTTACACAGAAATTAGATTGTATGGTTTGGAATTATATACACATAGGCTACTTGTGAAGCCGCTAGCAGAAGCGATTTAGTTCGTGTAATCAACAGTTGATTAAATAGTAAGTTTACAAACTGAACCTACTGTTTATATTCGCTGTTGCACTCGTCACTTTACCTGTAGGGTTTATCAGAATAGTTAGCTTAGGTCTGCATTTAGTTTGTGACAAATGAGCCTTGACTTACTCTATATGCGTCTCTCGGAATCAGATTCCATTCGAGCTTCGAGTTCGATCGCTAATTTGTTTTGAAACAGTAATATAGGTATAGTTTGTGTGATAGAATTCCGGATCAAACTGGTAATATGCGTATTAGTTCTATAGGATTACTGTTCCTATTGAACAAAGTAACTGTAAAACTTAATTGAACTATTCGGATTTTCTTTAATATATTCTCCCTAATTTAACTACGTTGTAGTTTTCGTAATAAAATTTTACGTCTTATAATTAATGTCAATTGTGTAATTAAAAGTTGAAATTATGATTAATTAGGTAATTTAATTTGAAGTACCGTATGTTCTATGGATAGAGATGTCACATGGAAAAGTGTCCCTTAGGTTATTTCTTGCAATATGAAAATTAAAAAAGTGAGCTTTTGTAATTTAATTATAAGGAAGGCATTTGATTAGGAATATAACTTGAAACAAGATTTAGTAATAACATAAACAATACCGAAAACGTACATACCAATATTCTTTATCAAACACGATTTGGAAAAAAATAAAATTAAAACAAATAAAATTAAATTTTCGATTTAAATTTAAATGTCTCATCCAATCTATAGTTAGTAAAAGTTGAAACGTTAAAAGTAGTTGTTGAAAACGTTTTAACTACGAAACCATAGCACTATGAAGAAGCATAAACGAATCAAAAAGAAAAAAAAAACACATTTTCCGATACATTGTTAGCACAGATAACGAAGATGAGATTATTCTCCCCCGATCATACTTACTAAATTAGCGATCGCGAAATTTGAACTACTGCGCGCTGAGCTTAGTCCCAATTAATGCCCCTGCCGTACCTGCACGGTAACTTCAACATAATTCGTCTGAAGTGTATAATAATAGCAAGCTACTTTTGAACTCAAATGTTTTTCTCATTTATTGATCGAATCACCCAATGTTTGTTTCTATGGCGATGTGTCTACCAGCCCAAATTAAAAATAACTCACTTATGTAACGTGATATTTGTTTTCTTGTTTCTAAATGTTTATTACAAGTGTTTGTTACGAGACGGCAATACTTAATATCAATTTCTCAGTGGGCAGACGTTTTCTTTTTTTAACCTAAATATGATGTTGTTCTTTCTAAACACAAATAGTATCACTTAGAAATGATTTAATTTAGATAAAATTATCGAGAACAAAGATTGTTTTACGAAAACAAAGAACTTGATATGGCTGCCCAACTTTTTTTAGCAGTGACAAAGTTTAATAAACCAAGTTTTTTATGGGATACAATTGTTGCTTGGAAATGGTAAACGCAAATTATTAATAGGTACAAACCAATGGTAAAATATACAAAAGGACCAAATTATATAGGAATCCTTCCTATATTCCACAGCAGGTTCAGAAGGAAAATATAGTTAACTTGTACATCAGGCTGTCTTTTCCTGTTACTGGCAATGCTGTCGGACTTCCAGCTTTTCCTAGATAAACGCGGTTATCAAGAGTGAAGGTTCAAGGATTTTTGAACGTACGCTCCCCGCATTTGTTTTCTATAATAGACTTTGACGGTGCACGTCAATCTGAATTCAATTTCAACTAAGTTAATTGCGTTGTTATCGTCTAATTATATAGTATAATTAATATTGGTTAAGGCCTATATTTAGTTTTAGAATAACAACTATTGTTAATGAATTGTAAGTGTGTGTCGAGTGACTCAAATTAAATGGGCACTCAATTGCAACTTTTATACGATAAATAGATTCACGTGTGCAGTAGTATACGGTGAGATTGTATCCGTACTGAGCGGTTAGTAGTGTGCAATTTGCACGTGCATATCAGTTTATCCGAGAGCTCGCGGTGCAAGGTGAAGGTTTGTTCGCTATTGTATACTGATTCCCGCGTGTTACCAGACTCGCGGTAACAACTGAGCGCCGGACACCGAACGCGAACATTGTTATTAGCAGCCACATGCCCATCACAAAGGGGTTACCGGTATTTCGAAAAGGAAGCGTTTTATATTCCATTTTGCGCTGTTTGGATTAAAAATACTCTATTGAAGCATTTGTTACTTATTTTATATAACTACAGTCAGACTTTTTAAGCAGCTGTTGTATTGACTTTAACAAAAGTGTAAAGGGGTATATTTACCGCGGGCCTAAAGAATGAAGACATTGCAACAGGCAGGTTTGCAAACGTGTTTCAATTTCAAGGTCTTTCGCTAATCTTCAAGTTGCGACACGTGACGGGACTTTTTGTGATGATTCTTCCATCACCCTTTTGACCGATACTATACCTAATTCTAAAATCACCTAAACACGGGAGTTGAATATTCACAAGTTTATGCAGTATGTACATCAAAAAGGTCATCAGGTTTTACGAAATGAAGCGCCACGAGCTTCTGTTCATCTCCTGTCCGCCTATCTCCTGTCCGCAATATAAAAAATCCATGTTCCGTTAAAATTATTTCAGTCCGCTAGTTAAGCTTACATGAAAGACATGTGGATTTAACAAGGTCTGGCTTTTCATCTACGTTAACTTTACAATTCTGAAGTAAAATAAATTATTTTTTGCATTCACTATGTTCCACTCCCTTTTTTGTGACTACCGGTTTCATAGTCACGTCTCAATCATCTTTACTGCTTGCGTTATGGGGATGATAGTCTGCAATTTTGACCTCGAACTCATTATACATATGAATTTATGCTCTATTCTTTTACGAATAGTGCATAAATGCTTTTTGCTGCCTAGGGACCGTAAAATGGAAAGAGTTTATGCAGGGCTTCCGTCTGCTGATTTTGTACGTGGCTTTTCACAAATTACCCTTGACATTTCTAGTTGCTTGCGAATATGTACCTTTCAATACGTAAGAATGAAAAATTATAGACCACTCCAATTAAAAATTAAAATGTATTTTCCATAAAATTAAAACTTGTATGCTTATAATTAAAAGGTGGCTCTGAGGTTTTACTTCGGATATTTGTTCAATTATCAGAGACTTTGATGTGCAAATAATAATAAAAATCATACTAAATTGCTTCAATGGAAAAATAAATGAACTATTACAATCGTAAGTCTTGCTATGCAAAAATAAAGTAAATAACAATCGAGCACCACCCGTATTGTGACGATGCGGCAGACAGTTGCAAATGTAACGAAACAATTTAGTTGCATTTCAAAGGTACTTAATAACAATACTTTGACTGACAAGCTACGGTCTTTAGGGTGTATCAATAACAGATACTTACATATAATGCGACCTGTTCCACAAGGTCTCGCTTTGGCAAAGAGTTTAGCATCGCTTTTCAAATTGGAATCTTGTGGGAATCATAAGTTATTTCAATACGGTGACAGTATTTTTCAACATTCACTTACCAGAAAGGGTTTGTTACTCGAGTTGAGGTTAAATCCGGATATCCCCTACCCTTAGTTGTATAAGTGTTATGATTCTTGTTGTGATATACATGTACCTGAGACGATATTCCAGTGGTGCGGTGTGCTCAGTAAGGAACTGACGGGTTGCGCGTTCGTACGTTGTCACCCAGTACGGAATACTGTATACGTGATTTATTAAAAACTTACAAAATTGTGATTGTGAACCTCTCTACTTGCATTTAAATACTTTACAAGTAAGTGCACTGCATGAGCTTTCAAATGTTATTTTATGATATTTTCGTCACTTTTCCTAAGTGTAATAATTATATAAGTCAAGGTATAGAGTAATCAATTTTAGCCCTTATTTGAAAAATATATTTATTTAAGAAACTGTTACTAAACAACATTGTTTCGGCTGTATCGTAAAAAAATGTTTTTGTTTTTTTGTTACTTACTTACTTTGTTTCGGCGAATAAAATAGTTTTTGCTTTGCAATTTTGCGATATTGGCACTGGGGCTTGTACTAGAACTATTAAATTATTTTCTGTTCCTTGCACAAAACTAATAATAACTGCCGCTGCCCGCGACTTTCCGCATTTATTATCTGTGATCTTCTTTGAGCCTTTGGTTCAGACATACTTGGGGTTTTGTAAACGTACATAACCTGCTAAAGGGGTCTATTCGATTTTATTTATCTATTTTTGGCATTTAGGCTGCGCGTTGTGTAGCGATTGAAGCTATTTATAGTCTGTTTCTAAAACTGCGAACTCTTAAAAATTATAAAATATAACAAACAAACATAGCTTCGACTTATAAACCCTACAACTTTATCTTAAGAAACTTTTATAAGAATACCCGACTTGCGCAGTATATATATGTGTAGTAATCCATAATTGCAGTAGTTTTTTGTGGTTTCTGGGATTTGCTAATACTAATAAAAATAAGCTTTGCGAATTAACGACAAGATGAAATGACGGCGTTCATGCTACAGTATATAAGACCGCTTGGAAGGTGACGGAATTATCATAACATAACCTAACATCGCTAAGCAGCATTATATAAACTTGTTTGTTTTGTATTCGCTCGCACGGCAAATGCGAATCGCGAAACAGTGACTACGGCAATGCGTGAACCCGTAATTGATACACCATCCGGCGGCACCTCTTACTAAGTATTCACTATTTTTATCACTTTTGAAATATTGCGTAATCCACGTCCTTATTTTTATAAAAAACAATATACACATTTGTGAAATATATAGCACAAAATAAAAATTCAAAATTGTAAGAATACGTTCAATATCTTTATAGATACGTAGCTGGGATAAAATCCAGGCTATTGTCAAGTCTGAAGAAGGCCTCGGTATCGAGTACGATGAAAATGTCATCTGTGATGTTTGCCGATCTCCCGATTCGGAAGATGGCAATGAGATGGTATTTTGCGACTCATGCAACATTTGCGTGCATCAGGCCTGTTACGGTATCACCGTTATTCCAGACGGTAAGTAACAAATTGTATCTTTCACCTAAACATTCTAATGTTCACAGTCAGTATTTTCTATCTATAATTGTATATGTTTAATATAAGTATAGTAAAGAATTGTTTAACATAATATATCATTTAACGGTGCTGACATATACTTCTATAATTTCAGGTCAATGGCTATGTAGGCCGTGCGGAGACGGTGTCAGGCCTAGCTGCGTGTTGTGTCCCAACCTTGGCGGTGCCATGAAATGCACGCCATCGGGTCACAAGTGGGCACACGTGAGCTGTGTGCTATGGATACCCGAGGTCTCCATCGGCTGCGCGGAGATTATGGAACCTATTACTAAGATATCTTCCATTCCAGCCTCCCGCTGGTCTCTAGTTTGTGTTTTGTGTCGTAATCGCAAAGGAGCTTGTATTCAGTGTTCCGTAAAGACTTGTAAAACGGCATACCATGTTACATGCGCATTCAAACATGGCTTAGAAATGCGAGCTATTATTGAGGACGAAAACGCGGATGATGGTGTAAAATTACGTTCCTATTGCCAAAAGCATAGTGTTAATTCAAAGAAAGAAAAGTGCCCAGGTTCAGGTCAGGAGGAGGAGGATGAGTTGAAACGAAAGCGCAGAAAAGATATGACGTCGGAGGAAAAGACGCAAGCTCGAGCTGCTCGCTTGCATGAGATTGAGAGGGAGTTCGACAAGCACGTTAGTGTTAAGGATATCAGTACACATCTCCTGGACGTCGATCAGGACGCCATCAATTATATTTACAACTATTGGAAATTGAAAAGACGAGCAGGGCACAATCGTCCCTTGTTGCCACCTAAATCTGACGACACCGAGGTGTTAACGCACCGACAGGAACAAGCCGACATTGATAAACTAAAGATGTTCGTGCAGCTCAGACAAGATCTAGAGAGAGTCCGAAATCTATGCTACATGGTGAGCAGAAGGGAAAAGCTCTCTCGATCGTTCTTCCGGATGAGAGAGCAAACGTTTCACAAACAAGTGGCTGTGTTGTCAGAAGCCGGCGACATTCCTGAACAAGAATTATCTGCAATCATTGAGGCTAATCATGGACCTTCAATATATGACAAATTATATTCTCATGATAACGCTCAAGATCATAAGAATGATTTCGATCAAGTATTGGCTCGGATCGCACCGGCGGAATCTGGTGACGAGAAGAAGAAGGATCGTAATGGATTAGTAAAAGGCTCGAAGTCTTCGAATCCGTACAAGAAACATTACGTAAATGGGTCTCGACGCAGCGGCAGTATGTACAGCGGGCTGTCAAGTGAGGAGAGTGGGACAGAAATGGCGCGCCCTGGTAGATTCCGAGGCAAAGCTATCGGGTCTAGCACAGATGATGAAGGTAAAAGAGCTGGATCCTCACCAAAGAAAAAGGTATCTCCTAAAATTAAAGGTAAAAGATCTCCGAAGAAAACTGAACGGAAGAAAAAGAAGGTTCCGCAGTCTAAAGCTCTCATTGAGAGCAGCAGTGATGAATCTATTAATTCCAGACTAAAGAAGGATCGATCTCGCAGCAAGACGTTGCAACAAATGGAAAAGGAAATGACTGCTGGAAAGATGGGCCAGTCTGGCACTGATAGTGATGATCTCATGCCGATTAGACCTACCATGAGGAATAATAAATTCCCCATCGACATCTACTCTGATAGTAGCGAAGACAACAAAACCGATATTATGACAGAAAAAGTTAAATCCGAGAAAAGTAGATCTGATAAAGACAAATCGGATAAACTAAAAGTTGAGAAGTCGCCCAGTGGAAATGATTCTCAACAATCCTTACCGAGAACAAAGGCGGCTATGAAAGAATTCATACCCACTCAACCTGAAAAGAAACCTACTACTGCCCCAGAAGAAAATAAACCAGTTCAGAAAAAGAGAGGCAGAAAACCTTCTAATAAAGATAAAAAGGTGCTACCTACCAAAATAGAATCCGACGATGAAGCTAAAAATAAAGAAAATATTAAATTCTCTAAACAAAAAGACCATCCAACAGATCTAATTGTTCCCCAAAGGCAAGCGGCAAAGAAAGCATCTGAAAACATGCGAACGTCAACCGCAGTGGTGAAGAAAGACGAATCAGTTCCTGAACAACGAGAGCAAAAACAATCAAGCGGAGATGATATGAAACCGAAACCTGTAGTAAAACCCGCGAAGAATAAAGGAAAAGAAATGAAAGATGCGCAGTCTTCTTCGAAAGTCAGTAGAAAGAAGTCTAAGGAGCTCGAGAAGGAACCAATTTCATACGTACCGCAAAGGCAAGCAGCTAAAAAGGCAGCTGCTCACATTAAGAGCGGTTTGGGCACCAAAGTGCCTCCCACAGAGAACGATAGTGACAAAAAGAAAGATGAGAAATTGGAAGCCAAATCACCTAAAAAAGAAAAAGATGACACTAAAAGTTCCAAACCGGCTCAGAAAGAGAGTTCTAGTTCCTCTTCCAATTCAAGCAGCAGCAGTTATTCGTCATCGTCTAGCTCCGAGGACGAACCAGAGAAACCCAGTATTAAACCGACGGCCAAAGCGCGCGAGATTAAACCGGCCAATACGACTCGACAGCCGTCAATGTTCTCGCCACCCGGCACTAGACCTACAGTGGACTTGCCCTTTCTCGACAGGGTGTCAAGACCGCTGTCTTCAACTAGTGCCTCGAGTGATTCTGACAGCTCTAAAGCGTCCGACGGGTCCCGATCTGGAAGCCCATATCCTAAGAGACCAAGACGAAGGCGTAAAGTCAAAAGTGTGTCCAACGATGCGTCCCCACGCAAGGCGCCGCCAGATAAGAAGCTTAAAACTTCCGAACGGCGGTCCGAGTGTAGGGTACCATCACCGACTCCTGAAGGAGAGGAACCTAGCCGACCCAGTGATGCGCGCGCTGCCACACGTGCTCGGACCAGAAGCACTACTTCAGGCGGAAATATGCCTAATAAGTCTGATGCCCGATCTAGAAAACCATCCAAAGACGACGCCCTTGCCACTGGACCCAATAAAACTCCCAAAGAGAGCAGCCAGTCCAGTGAACTTCCAACTGAGGAACGGAAAGAGGACGAGGCGGTAAAGGCACAGGTAAAGGAAGATGTTAAGGAGGAAATAAAGGACGACCACACTGTTGATGTTCCTAAAAATTACGCCAAGGGTAAGACTAACAAACTCAAACGGCGGAGCGAATCTAATGATGATAAAGACAAAATCAATAAGACTGTTGATAATGAAGTTCCACCACCGCATAAGGTGAGTCCAAAGAAGAGTACAGAGCCTAAGCAAAAATCGTCTATAAGCAGACGAATGAGTGTCAAAGAAACTGCTTCAAAAGATCGGGCTCCAAGTAATGAGGTTCGGGAACCAGCTAAGAAGGATCGAAGACTCAGCGTAGCGCATAATATTGCTGGGTCAGAACGGACCTCAGTGTCTCCTAAAAAGAAGACTAGTCAATCGAAAATTGAAATAGAGATACCGCCTATAGAGACGATTGATTCAAAGAATCCTCTACACCTTAGTACTGACTATGACAATGACGATAAACATTGGCTGCCCAAAGCTCCGAGTCCAAATGCCATTCCACCACAGGTAGAAAAGCCCGGAGGAAACGAAAAGTACATTGATGACAAATCGATGGATTCTGATTTCGCCGATAAGAGTAGTGTCAAAATGATAGCTAAGATTCAAGCTAATCTCAATGAAAATACTATGATAAAGTCACCTAAAACACCGATGGACGCAAGAACAATAAGTATTGAACACATCGACACAGTAGAAAGCGTCGCGCGGAACATGAGAAAGCATTCAGCAGAAAAGAAGTTCATCACGCAAGACACCAGCCACGTGCAAGGTGTCGAAATATCTAAGAGTGCTAAGATACCTTCCACTGCGAACCCCTATCCGAATAGGTCCATGTTCTCGCCGCAATCAAAGGACAGTGAATTCCTAGATTTTGGTATGATGGCTGTCGATGATGGATTTAACCACGACGATATCATCAAACCTTTTGCGACCTATCCTGAATTCTTTTTCAAAGAAGATTCCAAGCAGGGAGTGCAGGAAACTCTTAACTTGGTAGACCGTCTTAGATTTAGACTGAGCACGAAGAAAGTGCCACCTGAAAATCCTGATCAAGAGGAGCCCATAGTGGTGACTGATGAAAATGAGCATAAAGATAACGATATTGCTTGCAATCTGGTAAAGGCTGATGACGAGAAGAATAGTTCGCCTTCTAAAAAAGTCATTGCTGAAAGACCAGTAGAACCATCACCACCAAAAGAATTGATACATCACAATGTCAACCATGTCTCTTCTCGTATTTCTTCATCTATTGAAAGAGACTTACCTTCAGGAGATGCTGCTATGGACGCTAAAGAATTTCAACCCATCGCCATGACAAGTAATGAGAAATGGTCGAGTGTGCCAGTATCTGTCTCGCAGCTAGACTCACAAGACAGCCAGTCTGCCAATGACCGCAAATATGACAATTCTAACTCATACGATGACGTGAAGGAGCCTGTAAACATGCAGTCCGAGGTACAGTCTGTAACCGAAGAAGTAGCTGACAATATATCGCTATCTAAACAAAGTGATGATTCGCAACCTTTGTCTGTGGTTGACCATTCTGTGCACAGCAACGACGTAGAGCTACCTCACGATAACCAAAACTATGACAATAATGAGATGATACACTCCGACTGCGCTACTATATCATCGCCGCAGTACGTGAGCCAAGAGAAGTGGCGGGAAAGCAAGATAACCACGAGGCGATCGTCGGCCTCCAGCACTAACTCTGAGGCCTCTATACACTCTCATAAAAACAGTTTGAAATCACGTTTGACTGTAAGTGATCTACGTCCAGGTAATGTAATGCCCGAAATAGATACGTATCCGCCTATCCCAGCATACTCGCGGCCTGTCGAGCCTTCAATGCCACTGAACCAGTACACGACGTATCCTCCTGAAGCGTCTCCGTTCCTGAGCTCCCTGCCTCTGTTCGCGGGCACGTCGGCTTTGCCCCTGCCATCTCCGGGGCCTGGCCTTTACAGTGCCATTCCATATACGGCCACGCCACCGCTACCGCTCAAACCTGCCTTCTATAGTGCTGCCTTCACATCGTCCTCTCAGAATATTGCACTCACTACAGCAATGATTGCTCCACCGACACCAAAGCCGACGGACTCACCTCGAGATGACATTGATGTGACTGGAAGCGATAAGTTTATACATGTTGTATCCAGTCCGAGTATCAGCGTTGATTCCTACGATACAAATAGCACCAGAACTGGAACTAAGATGTCAAACGACAATAGCAACGAAACTATGAATACTCTCCTTCCACCGGATTCCAGATCCCCGCCAAAACTAAGCAAAGTAACGAAGTTTCCGAGCAAGTCACCGGGTAAAAGCCCTGGTATATCGCCTAAACAGAGTGATGCACCAAAAGGTACCAAACGTCCCAGTAACCGCAGCAACAGAAGCCAAAGAGGGCGCGGCCGCTCTAAGAGTCGGGGGCAAGGGTTCCCTGTTGACTACATGGGCAATTCAATCCAAAGCAAACTGGTTGGCACAGTTTACGACTTCGATGAAGAAATCGCGAATGACGGTGTCGATCTAAAAGCGCTTCGCGATAAACGAAAATCCATTGATCTACGAGATGATAGAAAATCGGAACATTCATATAAGGACACATCACAATCGCCTCGCGTCCTAACTCCTCCACCAAGTAAAAAACCTCCGACGTCTGATAGTAAAGATAGTAAACCACCTCCATCTCCTGAGCCTACAGATGCCAACTCGTCTCCAACGTGCTCTGAGCGCGGGGCAGGGTTCTCACAAGTAGCCCCGGTCTTACCCGGGCCCGTTGATATGCGCACTTATCAACCTTTTGAAAATCCTGCGCCTGCGACAGAAAACGCGTACCACTTGTTGGCATTTGCCAGCGGCACTGCCGAACAGCAATTGCCTGAAATTGACGAAGAAGTCGAAAAACAATTGCATTCGGAATTAATGGCAAGTAATCCCCAGACCGGTTCGCCGAGTCAACAACCGCCTGAACCTACAGTTCCTCCTAAAGAAACTTTTGTTCCACAGCTACCGAAGGTCTCATTATCGGACTCAAGAAACCAATTGAAGGTCAAAATCAAAGGACCATTTTTGGATGCGAACTATTCTGCGAGCTCATCGCAGCCGGTGGCGCCGCCGCCGCCCGCGCCTATCAATGATCCCAGTACCAGCATGAACAACACGCCCAACGCCGCGGCCGTCGCTGCGGCCTCCAACATGATGTCCGGGTCCACTAACCTACGACGCATGCGCAAGAAAGAGTTGCTGCGTCAGTATTGGACTCAGGACATGAATATGGACGAGCCGTCCCATAACATGCCAGTGGGTCCAGTACCACCGCCTGCTGTTCAACCACCAATAAATCGAACAGTCATTACCATTCCGAAAGCAGTCGCATCTATGACAAGTATTCCGACTCGAGAGGACTACAAGAACAGCGACAGTCCAGTTGAAAAGAAAACCAAACGCAAGACCACGAGCGGTCTGTCGAGGGAACTGCGACATTTGGAAGTTAGCATGAACGATGATATTGACCCATCAGATGATGTAAAACTATCCACAATAGCCGGCTCGTCGGGTCCCCCTCCACACAAGCGTCGCGCTCGGGCGTCAGCCAGCAAACCAAACCGCCCGATCCCTGCTCTTCCAGTTGCGCCGAAACTGAAGATTAAGATTGGCTCAAACACTGTGCAACAGGTACCAGCTACTAACACTCCGACTAGTGAGGAGCCAGGGGGCTCCACCATCTATCGCCCTCCTAAGAAGCGACATTTGGCTCATAAACCTAGTCTGGAAGACCTTCGGCGCGAAAGCATGAAGTACCGCAGAATGGTCATGGCTGATTTTGAAGAAGATGAAAAAACTACTAAAACGAAGCCTAAAAGTGATAAAAGTGAGAAACGTAAACGGAAAAAGGACAAAAAAGCGGAAAAACTACAAGTGGTAAATAGTGAAAGTGATAGTGCGACAAAGTTGATAATAAAAATAAAGCGTGCCAAGGAGGAGGAGGCTGGCGGGGCTAGCGCGGCTGGCGCGGGCGCGCAGTCGACGAGCGCAGCGGCGGCCGAGAGCGCGGGCCCCGAGCCTGCCATCGACCCGTTCGAGTACGACCCGTCGGCGCCCGACCCGCTCGCCATCGACCCGCCCTCCTACTCCGAGGCAACGTCTGCCATGCGCAAGGTACGCACGGACAAAGTGACGCCGATCCGGTTAAAATTGGCGCGCAGCTCCGAGGGCTCCGGCTACGTGATGAAGGAGACGGTGGAGGGCGCGGACGCGCGGCCCGCCCTGCCCGTCAACAACAATAAACACTGTGAAGTGAGGTGATATAAGCCGCGCGCTGCCGGCAGTGTCAAGCGTACCAAGGACAACAAACTATGTAAGAGCGTACATTTTAAGCTTAAGAGTAATAAAGCTGGAAGTAAGGCTAAAAAGAAGTAAGGGCAAGGACTAAGTGAATATGTTACAATAGAACAAGTATAAAATCTCCTGTATAGTTAAACTAAATACTGATATTGTCTGTATATTTTTACAACAGTTTTATCTCTATCATGGTGTAGTTTATTATTACATATTATTATATTATTTATTTGTATAAACGGAAAGCTCAATGATTAACTTAAAGTTATTCTAAGGTATATAATATTGTGCATTATGCTGTGCACAAGTAAATCTTATTATAGTATAGCATATATATTTTTGTTAATGTTACTGTTTTACTTTGTGCCTCATATGGAATCTCATTAATTTTCATGAATTAATTATGTAATTTTTGAAAATAAGTTATGTATTATGGACACTTCACAATCATCACATACATTCATTAGCGTATCCATAGCATTTCCAGAATACAGCTATCGTAGCAGACCCATATTTCAGTATATCATTTCTAGCGCTGTGATCTTATTGCGCTTCTCTGTTCTAGGGTCAACACTGTGGGAGTGGAGGCTAGGTTGTACTTACATTAAACACCTACTGCGGTCGTAGCTTCTTTTCACTATATCGACCAGTACAACTTATAAATGCCTCCGACTATTACAGAGTAAACGATTCTCAAGACACCAAGTTGAGTTTGTTGTACAAAGTCATTACATAAAACGCTGGTAGTTAGTACAATTGGCCAAAATTACACGAAACTTATCAAATGGTTCACATTTAACCAAAGATCGACCACAAATGTTACTGCATACAAATATGGGCATTAATTCTCATAACTGTTTGACTTGTTTCCTCCAACCCTAGGAATCACCGAACTTACACTGCAATTACACACCCGCATACATTGATCTCTGTTCTGCTAATTTTACGAGTAGTCACAAACCTTAGGCAGTATAAAGTACAAGTAAAATATGAAATAAAAATAACCTGGGTGTAAAATAAGCAGAATGCGGGACAATTAAATAAAGGAGAGCTGTGTGCCATTTATGTAACAAGTGGGTAACATTTTACTGCCATCTGATGTTAGACGCTGTCCTGACACGTATAGATTAATATTGTACGCAAACCTGAGATAAGCTAATGAAGTCGAATGTTATAATTTACTGAGGGTTACCCGTCACAACGACCGCGCACTTTCCGTACCAAGTATAACAGTTTGTCGTATTATTCAGAAACTGTTTATAAACCTATTTTAACTAGCGTACTGTCTTCACCTTCATCATTCAAAGTCAATTAATAAGATGTTACTTTAGTAAAACAGGTTTATGCAGTGAATCAAAAGTTTGAAATAATATATATAGTATTAGAATCTGTTTATGAACGCATTTGCGTATACAAAAGTGTATGGTTGTGCTTTTCCTTGCACGTTTTCTAGGTGTTAATTGTTGTTGCTAAGGAAAAAGTGCAATGAAAAGATTCAACAGTAACACAATGTAAATACTTTCGTTGGTCTATGATCGCCTGGTCGGATGTAACGGGTCGCCCTCCAACAATATTGCTTATAGCCTGTTATCCATATTCATGTTGACAACTATTCATAAATATATTTAAGGTATGATTTTTAACTGAAACGAACTGATTGGAATATTTATTTGAATGATGCATATTTAACATACGCTCTATAATGCTGGTCATATCTGTGGTCGTTGTCAATGCTGAAATATCTATTTTTGTACGTTACTGCTTGGGACCTATTTACAGAAAATCGCTTTCACAAAAAATCGATCAAGTTAATAATGTCACAATAAGTGCTTGAAATAATGAAATAGTAGTAATGACGCCATGGAGTCATTACATAGCGTATGCTAAATGTGTAAGTAATTAGTTAGTGACGTGAACACAATATGATTTTGTTTGTTTGTGCAATATTCGGCAATACTCATCGTATAGTCAAAGATTGATTGACCGTAGGTATGGAGTGTTAGTTTTAAGTGCATGTCCGTTATTCATAAGTATCACAGTTTCGTTCCCATTGTAAATAGTATAATATAATAACGTTCTAAGGCCTTGCCCAGACATGTAATTGAATCGACCGAAACAATTTATTTAAAGTTCGATGTGTTCAGTTTTCGCAAAGAGGTTGTGTTGAATATATATATAGTGAAGATTTTACGATACAGTTTGTTTTGTTATGGATTGTTTTCATTGATTTAAACTACGTCTGATTCTCAGTTGTTCGTGTCTATTGACCATGCTGACTGCAGAAATATTCGGATATTTCTCTTAAAATTGATTATCTTTCGTATGAAGTATATCTAGACAAGGCCTTGGCAGGAGATGAATAATTAGGGCCGCCCCATATAAATGCGACGGCGCATATGTAAAGCGACAGTTAGGCCACAAGGCCGCGGCCTATCAATGAGCTTAGTATAAATTTAAATGTTTAAATATCAAATTTTCGTAAATAATAAATTATGTAAGCTTAGTACCAATCTGAAATTAGCAGTCGCAACAATGTACAGGATTACAATCGTAAAACAAATATTGCAATTGTTTCATGATTCGTTAGCGACAAAGTAATATTTAGCGCAGGAGAAATTCATTCTCATTTGGGAACGTTATCACATGACCGAATTAGGTTGTAGGCTGTGCTTAGTTTCGCTATATTATTTATTTAAAAAAAAAACAAAATCAGTTGAAAAGCCGTCTCTTAAAAGATCATCCTTCAAATCATGTGCACTAGTTTATTATTCATATTGATTTTTTATACTTTTATATTTTTAGTACGAATCTAAAATGTTTATTTATTACGATGACAGATAAATAACACGTAATTTAACTAAGTTACTAACACTTTCAGTGGTTGCATTTAACTATACTAGTAACAAACGAATGGTGCCTGTAGTATATACAACAGACGAATAAATAAACCAATCAAAACATTGAAATACAATATCGTTGTAAATGACTTAGCAATCATTTTTATTTTAAACAAACATCCAATCTTCCATAAATGACGAATTATATAGAAAAGAAATCGATAGGATTATGTATATTGTATTTAATACCAACCAGAGAACAAGAAAAAAACTTGCAAGCGACTAAAATTAAACCAAAAATATTTTCGCGCTTCTAATCTACCGTCTTTGAATTCTGATTCTAATAATCACAATATTTAGCTAACCTATTTGTAAATATGCTGTTTTATATTAGTTAAAACGTTGAACGCTCTCCAGGAGCCTAGTTGACATGAGATTTGATTTAATACGTGAGTAAATGTAAACTAAATGTAAATAATAATTACCTACTTTAATTGTAGCTTACGTACGTTCCAAAACGGAAGAATTTTAATATTGGTAATAAGCAAATATAAAAGTAATATTGCTTAGTTATTTGTGTCTATGTAATCAATAACTTTATCCATAATATAAACAAAGTTACCATACTATTAAACTATTTATATTTGTAAATAATCAGGTTGCAACTATTTTCGTGGTCAGCAATTATTTTCTTTAACGTAATCGAATGCAATCAAACATATATAAAAAGTAAGGTAACATAATTTATTTTGATATACTGATATTTTTTCACGCAGTCTCCATTGTTAATTGTATGTATATAGCAGTCACGGTAATTGATAAATAATAATAGTAAGGCAAGCATACGTTACAGCAGAGAGAGCATATTCTTGCAGGCCTGTGGGTCCTGTGGTAATACAATGTTCGACGATTCTCCATTTTACTGTACATAGCTGTCTCCACACACGATCAATCGATACAATGTAAATAACATACTTCCTGCAATCTCTAAAGGCTACCTGACTTGCTTCCATTTTCCATTAACTTATCTTCGCGAAACATGTTCGAGAATAATTTGTGTAACACAGTTTTTAAAACTATTCTAGGAGTTTTCTTCCATATTGATTAGTCTACATAGAACCGTAGCTTTTAGACACAATACCAATAAAACAAAGCTTGTATAAACTACGACACAAATGAATTTACTCTTCTAAGGAACGTTTATTGAATTAATTTTAAAAAGTAGTTTCTGTATTTCTACGTTTAAATAATACATAAACATGACACGTTCAGAGATGAATTTGAAACAAGAATCAATATACAATATACAAATTGAATCAGAGAAACGTCGTTTTATTGATTTTTAGTTGAACTGCAGCAATCTGGGAGTCTTTGTGTCACTTCAAAGTCTTCTTTTCATTTCTATGGGCAAACTCCGGATTAATCAGGGTGGAGCTCTCGTATTGGTCAAGGCACTTTTAAGTCTCAATATATATTTATATATATAATAACCATGTAGGGTTAGGTATCTTGTATATTATCTATAAACTTTGGAATCGTATTTATTGGTAGACTAGAAGATAATGATAGAGTAACAAGGCCGCGCCCACGCCTGCGCGTACATAAATTTTAAATTATTCAATATCTGGCGGAGTCGCCTGGGCAGGTATTGCACTCTCTTATACCAAACTTACTTCTATTGATAACTTTTATAATTATATATTCGAATAATTTTATATATTCCTGTACATTACGGATTTTGCCCCCCTTCCTCAATTCTGTTTGAAGTAATCCCTATATCAGTATGGTACACTCACATTGTCTATTTTTTAAAACAATTAGTCTAAACCCCGTGTAGAGCTTAATAGACCCATTTTAGTATTTTGGACGGATTTTTAACTGTTTTACATAGTAGACAATGTGAGTTTACAAAACATACTACAAAATATAACAAAATAAATATCAATAATTATAAAAAACCAATGACAAAAATAAATAGCTGTTATGGCGGCACCATTCTTATGAAATTAATTGTCTAGGTTTAATTCTATAATCTATCAGAGTATGAGCATACGAACAACCAATCATGTTGAAACAAATCATGTGATCGATTTCTTTTGAAATGTCATAGAGGAGCATTACCTGTGTATTGCTCGCCTCAGTATGAATCAAACACTGGCGCCTATTACGCCTGGATTCTTCAATCAAAGTACCACAAAGACATTCTCTCATCGCAAAATCACGTTTTCATTCGTCTTCCTCATAGTATCGCTTTTTAACAGCGCTGAGCGCTTTTTCTTTTATTACATTTCTCTCACAAACCGAAAGAGTGCAGGTGCAAGAATGAAATGACGGAACAGAGATACAAAGATACCTAACAGCCGAGATTGGGCATTATTTCCTCATTCCCTAATCTTTATCTTATGTTCTTCGTTTAACAATTTGCACGTTTTATTTGTCTCTTTAGTGTTGCACGTACTCCTCGTACGCACAAATGTTAAAGTGAAATAATACGAGTACCAACATCACATTTACAATATTTTTGTGTCGATCATTACCTTGTTACTGTGATTTGTTTTAATTTATATAATAAATCAATTAGAATTTTTAGAAATAATTTTTGTATTTTGAGATTCCGACTGCAGGGAATAAAAAACACATAATAATGTACATATATGTTTAAATTTCCTCTGTTGATAATATTTTTTTAATATAAGTAAGTGTATGTAATTTTGAAATATTTTGTCGATATAAATAACAATAAATAACGAATGTATTTTTTTCTTACTTTAAAAACGTTATTATTGGTACGCTGTAAGCGCATTTTGTAATGAGTATTTTTTAGTTTATGGAGTAAATAGTGAAGTGTTGTATTGTTGTTGTAAGAATTGTAATTTGCAATGTATAATTGTATATTGTAATTTGGTAAGGATGCGTGTTATTGAGATGTTTATGTATTACTTCTTGTATGATATGTACGTGACGCGCGATGTAGTGAACTTACATAGAGCGGGGACGCTGCCACCCTCTGGTAGAATGTTACTAGCTACGTCGGTAACTCGTAGCGTAGGCACGTTGGGGCGTCTGTCTGGTCTGCACGGGCGCGAGACCATTGTCTTAGTCATGGCTGAGCGTCGCGCACCAGTCATTAGCTTATAGAGAAAATTCGATACATATATTAACTATATTATTTATATTGTAGACTATATAATCAGTTTAAGTATTAGATATAAGAGATTACATTTAATTCTTATACCATTATCCGTATAAGTATTATGATCAACAATTTTTCCATTGTTTTAAATTAATGTTGTTAGTATAAATAATGTAAGATTAAGTTTAAACTTGTACAAACTACTTATGTACAGTGTGTAAATTAAGATGATGATGCTAATAACGGCGGCTACGCCTGGCCGACAGAGGAATAGATGTATCGTGGGTTTTGTAAATAGTGTACAAGTATAGTTATTGTAATATAACAAGTGTTTTCAATGTGCACATAGTCGCCTCATTCATTAATAAATTTTTTAGATCAATTAATCTTTTCTTTTGATTTTTGCATCCTGTTTTGTATTCTGTTGCCCTGTTCTGGGAAATCGCTTTACCGCGATTATCCAATGACATGCACGAAGCGGTTCGCCTCCAGTTTTATAATCAGAACCATTATGGAGTGGAATTCTTTGCCGGAGTCTGTTTTCCCCGAAGAGGATATAACCTAGGTGTTTTTAAGGCCCGAGTGAATAGTAATGAGATGGCATGCTCCATCGTGGGTCGCATCATCGCCTACTATCATGCATGGAAGCGGCCAAATGCCTGACAGTTACGAAGTATAAAAATACGACATTATTGTATGGGTACAATGAATAGCAATCTTATTTATTTGCACGGTTGACGCGGTGGCTGGATATCCGGCTGCCCGTGCAACGTGTAGCGGGTTCGAGTCCCGCATGAAACAACTGTGTGGTTCAAATATTGTTTCTGGTGATTTGTGTGTGGAATATACTTACTAAATTATATTTGTAAACGCACCGACGATGGGCGAAGAGGGAGAAACGAGGAGTTTGTAGGATGGAACTACTATTTTCTTTTAAAAACAAAAAGAGACACTATGGTAAGTTTCCTTTTTAGGTTTCAAATATTCAGAATGGAAATAGCACTTTCATAGATCTGAGGGCCTACCACGGAGTAAGATCAAAGAGGAGATGTCATAATAAGATTTCCCTAAGAAACACCGCGTGATATTTTGCGGGGTGAGGGGGTATTAGACTCCGCCCACTTTTTTATTTGCCATCTGCCGGTCTATAGCAATACTACTCGCTCATTCAATTTACTTCTTTTTGTAGTTATGTAACTATTTCACAATAGATGTCACTAACGCAACAGGGTCGTACTTAGAACTTACCGGGGAGTTGTTTTAAAAAGTTTTTTGTAAATACATTTGCGAATCATCTTGATACGCATTTTTCTATCGAAATAGTAATAAATATCTAAAATATCTATTATTGGTGAATGAGAATCATTACACATTTATCAAAACCATCTTTTCCATTTAAAAGGGGTTATTTCGTTACAGGCCTAGCCTGAAGCAGAAACTCGTATACAATGCACCCAAGAGGCTGATGCCCTGATGATAGCTGGTTCTTTGTGATAACGAGTGTTATTATTAGATATGCCATTACTTTACTAATGTGTAACTTGGAACGGCATATGCGTTTAGACTGGTGCCATCTTCAAACATACGATTCAGGGATGCGTCGACGAAATAAAAGACTCCAAGTGTATCTTCATAGGTCTTGAAGGGACAAGGCCTCTATCTACGATAAAACTACTAGCGGCCCGGTACGTGCTTCACTACGTTCAAGTATATCATAAAATATAATCAAAAATATATTATTATGTTCATTTAACAAAAAAAAAAATGTTATCGTTTGCTATGTAAAACTCTAAACGAGTCAAAAGATATATTATTGAAAATTAATGGCATTGATATAAATGTTCTTCGGTGCTATTGTCTGATAGTGTGTTCTGTGAACTAGGTAGGTAATCATTTTTGCAATTCTGAAGAATATTCGGAAAAAAACACATTCAATCAACTCATCTATAGATTGCGCAAATGTATAAAAAATATTCGGTAAAATGACCGATCCGTCGGTACTGTCAATTGTTATTTAGCCATCACCAATCCAAACTAATATTATAAATGCGAAAGCAACTCTGTCTGTCTTTTCTTTACACCTAAACTACTGAACCTATTTGAATGAAATTTGGTACAGACATAGTTTGGAACTCGAGAAAGGACATAGGATAGTTTTTAAACCCAAAATCTACAGGAAGTCACTATTCCAAGCGAACAAAGTCGCGGGCAAAAGCTAGTTTCTAATAATTGTTATGAAAACTCATGGGCAGTTGCATCATTACGGAGCTGAATACGCATTATTACTAAAGTTCAGTGTCAATTTTCGTATATATCTCCAAATAACTGATGACTTCAAACAGGTTTTTCACCAGCAGGAGTTGATCAAGGAATGACAGGCAATGTTTGACGAAAGCCTTCTGACAGCAATATCAGAGCACCACGAAAAACCTGTTGAGTACCGCGTAAATTTTGCATGGTTCGATCAAATGCTTCTATTGATTTTTTATTCGCCATTGTATGAGTGCATCCCATAAAATAATTGACGTTAGTTGCAAAACTTTTGCCATAGCAAAATTTCTCGAAATATTACAAGTTGCAATTTAAATCACCTGTACATTCAATAGCAATGCTAATGAAGAGTGTGCGGTCCTAGCACCTTGTAATAATGTAACAGCAATCGTCTTAATTTGCATTACAGGTTCGCCGGTTTTACCTCAACAATATTTTGGATCATAAAAACACAAAACAATAACTCAACAATATTTTGGAACAATAACGAACATTACATCTAATTAACTAGTGGTATGTTAAATGCTATTCCAAAGTTAATAATACCGCCAGATTCTTCATATATGTTTTATCATTCTTCATCCTAATTATCTTCACGACTGTCATAGGTACTATTTACCATGAAAAATGAACAAAACCTGCCCTAATGTGACGACTTATTTCGAAATAAACGCACAATGGAACAAAAAGATATGTACGAAGGACAAAATATGTTGTGGGCATTTCATAGGCTTACCGGAGATACATATCTGACTTGTATGATCCAAGTCCTGATGCCTTTAATTTGGGGTTGAAATAAAAACCGAAGAGGAACTTTATAGGTATAAATAAGGTCGTTCAGTTTCAAACACTCAGGCACTAAGATTTAGCACTCACAGCGTGCGGTGAGGTGCGCTAAATTTGAGTGATTCCATTCGCGACTTAAATAAATCAACGATATCTATAAACCTTAAAAAGTAATTGACTCCTTATTACTGCCCTGTCTTTATTTATGTTTTACTACTTGACAATAGATGGCAGTCTGTATATAAAATGATATAAAAGTTACATAAATAATATTTTGGCGATTAAAGGATCTTTAGGAATGCATGTCGATCAAATTACTATACAAACGATCATTAAAATATACTAATACTGAACTATGCGTACCTATAAAAATTTTGTTTCTACCTATAAAAGTGTCGACATCTAGTGTCGCGTAGATTGATAATTGGAAACGCTGAAAATAAGAGACTTTGCTAGAACTATTTTAATAAATGACGAATAAAACAACTTATACATGAAAAGTGATGCCATCCATTGCACCGTAACGTTTATCATAGTATTTTTTACAAGATAAAACACAAGACTTCATTTTGTTTTCTTCTGTCACGAGTAAAATGAATATTTTATAGGAGTTGTGCACAGGACGAACGACCACAATTCACTGACGTAAGCCACGCCCACATTGATGACGTGAGGGCCGACTTGTGTCACAGGGCCGAGTTGTTTAGGCCGTCTCCTCTTTGTTCTTACTCCGTGGGGCCTACTATAATGTCAATCTTTCGGGCAAGAAAGGGATGGAGCTATAAAAAGTGTAGAGCTCCATCGCTCTTTCTCGCCCGGAAGATTGACTGGCAAACTGTAACGTTATTATTAGTACGGCAAACGAGTAGACAGATCGCCTCATGGTAAGCTATCGGCGTCGCCCATGCATCAGCAACACCAGATTAGTTGAAATTGCGATGACAGCCTTTTAGGGGTTAGAAATTTCTGGATAGCGGATTTGGAAATTGAGGATAGGAGGTGGAGAGGATTGTTCCTCCGGTAAATCAAAGCACACGACAAAGTTAGGGTTTCTAATATTTGCCTCAAAGTGAACATAGACCACCACAGACTGGGCCCTATAGGGCTGATGTTCAGCCGGGGTTGCGGGCAAGCGCAATGAGGCACCACAGCCTCGTCCCAGAGCAGGAGAAGAAACGGTGGGGTTTTTATTATTGTTTGTATTCCTTTTTTCAGGTGTGCTATGACTCAAGGTCGTTTGAAGTTGCAAAGTGGTAGTTGACCACAAGTCAAAGTTCAGTACAATCACGATACATTTTCATAAATTGCGTATGAAACACGGTACACCAAAAACACAACATGAAGCCAATGAAAGAATACATATTTTGAGTTTTTTTAAAAAGGCAAAATTATTCATACTGTCTGAAGCGACCTAAAAAAGATAATATATTTAAATGTCACTATTTCAATTTTTTAAATTCACTTGGAAGACTATATTACATGGAATTTCTTTAAAAAAACAATACTAAAAATATTGCATGTTCCCTGTTGTGCACGAAGACATCGAGAAGTTAAACAACGGATGTTCAGAAGCGGCTCCATGCATCTGCTATAGCCATAGCAAGCTCATAAGCTAAACACACAAAAACTAAATCTAGACCCTGTTGTGAAATTACTTACTTTTTTATGCAAATCAGCAGACGGATTACCTGATGGTAAACAATCAGCGCCGCCCATGGACAACCCAACAGCAGAGGACTTACGACTGCGTTGCCGACCTTTTGGGGATTAGGGATTTGGAGATTTGTGGATTGGGGGAGGGGAAGGATTGGGCCTTCGGTAACCTTACTCACACGGCGAAACAACGCTGTGGTGGTTTCACGCCGGGTTTCTGTGAGGCCGCAGTATCACTCCGGTCGAGCCGACACATTTGTGTCGAAGTACCTATGGCTCTCTCACATTTAAATCAGCGATCGATCCTTGAATCGGCGATCGATCTCTGAACAAAAAGTTGAATAAGTATTTATCATCAGTGTAGGACAGATTTTATTTATAGGTGTCATGCAAAGGTACCACATAACTAGTTTTGATTAGACATGTTATCGGAGGCCAAATTGTGTCACACTCGCAAACCCCAAAATCCGTGTGAGAGCATACTTTGGAACTGGATACGATCGGAGTAACCTGACGTACACTGAGGGTACCTACTACGCGTACGTTTTTTTATGGAATAGTAGGCAAACGAGCAGACAGATCACCTGATGGTAAGCGATCGGCGCCGCCCATGGACACCTGCAACACCAGAGGAGTTACAGGTG